AGGATACTGGACCCTAAACCCTAAACCCTAAACCCTAAACCCTAAACCCGAAGGTCAGATAAGGACACTGGACAACGAAGAAAACCGCAAGAGGCACCCGATCATGGCGGCGGTCGCGGACCCTGCGGAGTGCAGGCCTGGATGTCAAGTCTGCGCGATGCGCGATGTGAACCCCGAAACCCTAAACCCTAAACCCTAAACCCTAAACCCTAAAACCAATAAACCCTGAACAGGGGCGTTTAGGGTGTTTAGGTTTTGTTTTGGGGTTTCGTGTTTTACCCTCGGATGTTCCCTTTTGGAGAGAGAAGAGGATCTCAGCTTCGATTGTTTTGGAGAGCTTAAAGGGCAACCTTTGTTGTTTAGGGTTTAGGGTTTAGGGTTTAGAGTTTAGGGTTTAGGGTTGGAACCACACCCGGGATCATCCGGCTCGCGGAGTCCAGCCTGGAGATTTTCCTCTGACTGACTAGCTTGGCTTTCTCTTTCTCTTTCTCTGTCTCTTTCTCTTTCTCTTTGGTTTTGTTACCTCCTCTGTGTTGAAAACTACCCTCTACACATACATGGAACGAAGCACCGACGCATAGCCAGACTCCACACGCACATACAACTACAGGGCCCTTTCAATTAATCACCACAATCCACCCGAGGTGATCTAAGCCCCAAACCCTAAACCCTAAACCCTTCAAAAGCCGCTGCCCGAACTTCCTCCTCGTTTTGGCCTCGGTGTCAGGGAATGGCAGGATGTTCTTCGAATCTCCGAGGAGCTCCGTGCCAGCGTCAGCCCATTCCTCAGCTCGTTCAGGGTTTAGGGTTACGGGTTTAGGGTCTAGGGTTGGTAGCGTCAGGCTCCGAGAAGTGACTGAAAAGGTGCACGACAAGAGCGAACGGCCGAAATCCAGCAACCTCGGACCCGGGTTAAGTTGCGAGGCTTCGCATGTAGCACTAGTGCTTCGAGTTGAGTTTCCCTGGAATGTCTGCCGATGGTTGGGTCCGAGACCTGCCGCTTCCTGCACCAAGGCAAACTTCAATCGAAGCTGGCGTCTGAGAGGCTCTCCCCCGCGGCTTTGCAACAGGATGTTGTTGACCCTAAGGGCCCATGTACCCGTGTGGCCATGTACTTGGGCCTTAAAAGGTGCCTTAGGGTCCAGGTATATACTATGTAGGTACATGGACCCTTCGGGAGACATAGCCTAGGATCAGCATCGTTCATCATCATCGAACATTCTCTGCCTGCCAGGACCCTCCTCGCCGCAGACCGAGCGGCTGCGGCTGCCGACCGACACGCGGCTGCGGCCGATCGTGCCGGCGCCGCATTGGCTTGGGTTGACTGCTTAATATATAGAGGTCGGATTAATAAAGACTGCTAGTAATCCCTTATGGTCCCTATATAAAGATACTTTAAGAACTCCCAAAACCCTGTTCTAATCATTTAGGCCGCTTCGGGGAATCAGGGCTTGAGGCTCAGAGAACTGACATACGCTTCGTCGCGATTGAAGTTGTTATCATGAAGATGCGAGAAGAGCAGCCCCCGATGAACCCGGGCCCTGGACCCCTTTCTCCTGGGGATATCCTAAACCCTAAACCCTAAACCCTAAACCCTAAACTGCCCCTTTACAGTCTTTTTACCGAAGCTTCCTGGATGGCCCAGGAGAGAATGCGGAGCGTTTGGCTCGGGCCTCGAATCTGCGGTTCTGTGGCAGAATTTTCACCCTAAACCCTAAACCCTAAACCCTAAACCCTAAACCCTAAACCCTAAACCCTAAACCCTAAACCCTAAACCCTAAACCCTAAACCCTAAACCCTAAACCCTAAACCCCAAACCATCCTTGGTCATAGAACCTCAAGATCGGCAGAATCATGACCATGCTAGCGCAACAGCAGACATTAGCTCTGAAAGAAGGACCTGTTCTTTAGACAGGGAGGGTCGGCGCTATGTGCCAAGGGCTGCTGAGTAGGCAGACTTTTTTTCGTCTTGAGGTGCAGCCAAGCACACCTGCAAACCCCTCACCGTAAACCCAAAAGCCCAACCAACCCTCAACCCTAAACCCTAAACCCAACCAACCCTACACCGCAAACCCCTGAGGTCCGCGTTATCTCCGCGACCGTCGAGCGGTGGTGTCCAAGAGGCTTGGAGTTCTCAAAATCGACTTCCTTGATCCCTTCAGCCTTCTCTTCCGCCCTCCGAATCTCAACCCACAGAGCCAAGGTCCAAGCACCCTAAATCCTTAAGGCATAAACCCACCGAGAATTCTTAAGCCATAAGCCCAGAGAGAACTCTTAAGCCATAAACCCGCAGAGAATTCTTAAGCCAGAAAATTGCAGAGAATCCTTAAGCCATAAAATTACAGAGAATTCTTAAGCCATAAACCCACAGAGAATTCTAAGCCGTACACCCCCCTAAACCCTAAACCCTAAACCCTAAACCCTAAACCCTAAACCCTAAACCCTAAACCCTAAACCCTAAACCCGAACCCCTAAACCCTAAACCCTAAACCCTAAACCCTAAACAGAGGGAGGGGTTGTGAGGGCTTCGGCGGTCGAGGGTTTGCAGCCAGGGTCGAGGCATCCTGGGTGAGGGGCTTAAGTCGCATGTGAAAATCTTCCCGTTAAGGGCTTAGGGTTTAGGGTTTAGGGTTTAGGGTTTAGGGTTTAGGGTTTAGGGTTTAGGGTTTAGGGTTTAGGGTTTAGGGTTTAGGGTTTAGGGTTTAGGGTTTAGGGTTTAGCCCCCCCCCCCCCCACCCAACCCCAGACCTTAAACTAAACCCATGCCCGAACCTACGCCCTAAACACTTCCCCAGCAGCCAAAAGATGCCAAAAGAGTCTGCTGACCTTTATGGGTCCTTAGGGTTTAGGGTTTAGGGTTTAGGGTTTTTCAGGCTCCAGAAATGCTTATATGTGTGGCTGTTGGGGCCCAAACCCTGTAAACCATAAGAGGCGTAAACCCAAAACCCTCCAAACCCCAAGCCCTTGTCTATACTCAGGGCTTAGGATTCAGGGTTTAGGGTTTAGGGTTTAGGGTTTAGGGTTTAGGGTTTAGGACTTAGGGTTTAGGGTTTAGGGTTTAGGGCTTCTGGGGCTCCTTTGAGCCGGAGGGGGCTCGAAGCGCCCAAGTGCAGGTGCCGAGGCCGACAAAGCTGCGCCCGACTTCGCCGCCGAGGCCAGGGACTGAGGCTTTACGAGTCTAGGAGCAATCAGAGTTTAGGGTTTAGGTTTTAGGGTTTAGGGTTTAGGGTTTAGGGTGTTCAAACCTGAGGCCTAAACCCGAAACCCTATATTTAAGCCTTAAAGAATATGCAGGGTTGATGGCTTTGGGAGGTCAAAGCGCCTGTTCCTTAATCCTCGACAGGCTCCATAAGGGGTTTGTAGATTTTGTGGCGTGGCTGAGGGTTTATGAGCTTAGTATCGTATGCTACAGGGATGAGACAATGAACGGCGCCACTTGCTTGTCATTGTGGTTGTTTCTTCATCTGCGCACAGACTGCTCAATCGTATCTGTGATTGCAAGCACCGGCTTTGCCCCTTACACAAGTCCAGGTCACCGATTCCCCATCCGCAGCAGCACTTCCGCCTCAAGTCACAGGGGGATGCAGACCTCGGCAGACCCCAAGACTCCAACTCATCCCATTTGATGGCGACGTCGCGGCAGCAGTTGCTGGAATTCCGGCCATGCCTTCTCCTTGGAGCATTGGTGTTCTTCATCATGTTCTGCGCGGGCATCGTTCAACACGATGACAGCAAGTTCGTCCCGACACTTTCATCCGGAATCCTCTTTGTTGCTCTTGTGGGGCTGGCATCCGGCTACTGTACGGAGGCTTGGTGTTGCATGCTCACCGTCGGAGCTGCAGTTGCCGGAGAATCTCTTGTCGAGGAGGAGGAGGAGGAGGAGTGTAAGCACTGTTACATGCCGGAAAGGAAGTGCATTTGCTTTGATCCTTGTGAGGGGGGATGTGGCGAGAATCTCAAAGACTGCAAGTGCGGAAAATGAGCCCGCAGTACCGAGCTCGCCGGTCACTCCTCCTTAATTGGTCCTGAAGTTAAGGTCTTTGAGCTTTCAGATTTCGTTAACCTTGGATGTCTGCAGCTATGAGCGAGCGAACCACCATAGCTGCCGTAGCTGTAACGATGCACCGCCGGCGAAAGGCTGGACGGTTGTCAGCAATGTGTTGGCTCCTGCACGCACGCTTCATCTTTTGGTAGCTGAGTCGTACCCTTTTGCCCTTTCTGGGTTCTGGGTTTCCTTACCAAAAAGAAGTAAAACCAACCGCAAACGGGCACCCTTATCTACCAAGATCTAGGCTTCGTGCCTGGGATCTGAGCGCCTTTGGAGGTGCTTTGTGCGGCAGACAGCAGTGCCACCGAGAGATAAAGATCCGGATGTGTCGTTGAGCAGTACCAGCACCCAGAGTAGACTGTTATTCCTTGTTTTTTTACGGTGTAGGTTCCCTTGAACGCCCCTTTAAACCAAAAAAGGGCACCCTTTATTGATCCTTTTGATTCCTTGGCTACTCTGGAGTCTAGACTACATGTTGCCTTCAAGGAGGGTTTAGGGCTTTAGGGAGTCTAGAGTTTCGATGGTCTAGGAGGGTTTAGGGTTTAGGGTTTAGGGTGTTCAAACCTGAGCCCTAAACCCGAAACCCTATGTTTCAGCCTTAAAGAATACGCTGGGTTGATGGCTTTGGGAGGTCAAAGCACCTGCACCTCAACCCTCGTCAGGCTCCATAAGGGGTTTGTAGATTTTGTGTCCTGGTTGAGGGTTTATGAGCTTAGTATCGTATGCTACAGGGATGAGACAATGAACGGCGCCACTTGCTTGTCATTGTGGTTGTTTCTTCACCTGCGCACAGACTGCGCAATCGTATCTGTGATTGCAAGCACCGGCTTTACCCCTTAGACCCTTAGACAAGTCCAGATCACCGATTCCCCACCCGCAGCAGCAGTTCCGCCGCAAGTCACAGGGGGACGCAGACCTCGGCAGACCCCACGACTCCAACTCATCTCATTTGATGGCGACGTCGCGGCAGCAGGAGACATTTCGGCTATGCACTGGTCTTCTTGGAGCATTTGTGTTTTTCATGATGTTCTTGGTGGGCATCGAGCAACACTATGACAGCAAAGGCATCTTGACACTTTCACGCGGAATCCTCTTTGTTGCCTTTTGGCTGTGGTGTTGCATGCTCGCAGTCGGAGTTACAGTTGCTAGAGAATCTCTTGTCGAGGAGGAGGAGGAGGGAGTGGTACTGCTACATGCCGGCAAACATCCTTGTGAGGGGGGATGTGGCGCGAATCTCAAAGACTGCAAGTGCCCAACGTGAGCCCGCAGGACCGAGCTCGCAGGTGCAGCTATGAGCGAAAAGCCATAGCTGCCATAGCTGCCGCAGCGCCGGCTATGTGGTGGAAGGGTGTCAGCAATGTGTTGGCTCCTGCACGTTGGGGCGATGAGTGGCAGCAGAGGTGGGTCTAGAACAAGTGCTACCAGCAGATGCGTTGGATGAGAGCCGGGGAGGACATCCGCTTCGGTCACGACAAAATCAGCGCTGCATTTCTTCATGGTGAACATGGCAAGCAGCCTTTAGCTGAGTGGTACCCTTTTGCCCTTCTTGGGTTCTGGGTTCCCTTACAAAAAAGAAGTAACCAACCCCAAACGGGCAGCCTCATCTACCAAGATCTAGGCTTCGTGCCTGGGATCTGAGCGCCTTTGGAGGTGCTTTGTGCGGCAGACAGCAGTGCCACCGAGAGATAAAGATCCGGATGTGTCGTTGAGCAGTACCAGCACCCAGAGTAGACTGTTATTCCTTGTTTTTTTACGGTGTAGGTTCCCTTGAGAACCCCTTTAAACCAAAAAGGGCACCCTTTATTGATCCTTTTGATTCCTTGGCTACTCTTGGGTCTAGACTACATGTTCCCTTCAAAGAGGGTTTAGGGCTTTAGGGAGTTTAGGGTTTCGAGGGTCTAGGGAAAAATCAGGACAGGGTTCAGGGCTTCTGGGGTTTAATAAGGGCTTATACGACTCATCGAGTGGCTGAAGATGACTATTGGTTAATTCGTAGGGAATGAGGTGAGGTACCCCAAATTTTCCCAAAACATACCCTCTAAGGAATTATATAGGGTACCTAAACCCTAAACCCTAAACCCTACACCCTAAACCCTAAACCCTAAACCCTCCATTCCCCTATTCCATACTAACCAGCAGTAAGAAGCTGACTGGCGCGGGTAGCTGCCCTGAACAAGGTCGCAAAGGGCACCGCGCCCAACCTGCCGGATCCCGAGCGCGTTGACATGTGGGCCTTATCAACCCTAAACCCTAAACCCTAAACCCTAAACCCTAAACCCTAAACCCTAAACCCTACTGTATGCCAGTTTATAGGACTTGGAGAAGGAACCATTCATGAAACCCGGATTGCGGTGTATTTAAATTAGGAAGAATATGATCCTTATAGGCCTTTGCAAGGAATAGGGGTTCAGGACTTGTAGAGTGGAAGCTTCTTGTTTGTTGTTTGCATCGTTTGTGTTATAAGTGACTTTTTCACAGCAGCCTGTGCTTGTTCCGTCCGCTGGTCCCGTGAACAAGGCGTCAAACACCGTGCCATCTGTCACGATCGGTTTGTCTGCCTATGTACCCCTCTCCAGATAAACCTTAAACTCGCCAAAGTTCTCCTTTGAAATGGAGAAGACCTGGTTGGTTGTTGGGCTTGCGATTGTGTTTATGGCGATGAGACCCACCCACGCCCAGGACCCGAAGTCGAGAATCAAAAGTGGGATTTGTTAAGCTTGCAGGGTTGATTGGGTGCGGGGGTTCAGTGTTTAGAGCTTACATGTTCTTACGTGGCGTTGTGTTTTTTTGAGTTTTTGGGGTGGGGGTGGGGGGGAGCTTGTAGGGGTTAGGGGGCTTCTTGTGTAGGGTAGGTAGGGTTTGAGGGGCTTTCTCGAGGCCTGCATTCTAACATCTGACATGGATCCCCTTTTCATGCCTGGGAGAAGGAGGAGGGAGAGAGAGAGAGAGAGATAGTCTGAACTCATGATTTTAACATAGGGGTCGTAGTTACTGATAGCATTCCCTTTTTATGGCTCCTTTACAATTCTACTATAGTAAGCCTCCGAAAATCCCGTTTTCTTTTTTCAGGCCCCTACAGTACACACCCCTGCACTCTTCGCCTGAGCTCCTGACGCTCTCAAACATGCGACAACCCTAAACCCTAAACCCTCAACCCTAAACCCTAAACCCTAAACCCTACACCCTAAACCCTAAACCCTAACCACAGGCAGAATCGGCTGAACGGCACGGCCCCTGTCTCAGATCATTTCCCCAAAGGGTTCACTTAGCAGCTGAATTGGGCACACTTTTCACTTTTTTGGGGTACTGTAATCCCCGATAGACACTGAAGTGTAGTGCTCTTTTTGGGGCTTATGAACTGAGAAACCCTTAACCCTAAAACCCTGAAACCAAAAAAACTACCCTTCCCCCCTAACCCTAAACCCTAAACCCTAAACCCTAAACCCTAAACCCTAAACCCTAAGCAATGACGTGGGCTTTCCCTCTTCAAGTCGAAGGCAAGGCCTGGCTTTCAAACTCGGGTCTAGGGCTTAGGGTTTAGGGTTTAGGGTTTAGGGTTTAGGGTTTAGAGTTTAGAGTTTAGGGATAGGGACTCTGTAATCCCTATAAAATACTTCTACATAGTTTCATAAACCCTAAAGTACCTACGCATATACAGATAGATCCTCGAAAGCCTGCAAAGCCCAACCCCAAGTTGATAAGCAAAACAGCCCAAGATGCCAGCATGTTGGTAAGGCCCCGAAAGCCTTGGTCAAGCAGCCGCCACACAAGCCTGCGTCGCGGGAGGGCCCAGCTGTTGTGTTTGCAGTCGCTGCGAGGTCGCGAGGTTGAACAGGTTTAGGGTTTAGAGTTTAGGGTTTTGGGTTTTAAATTGTAGGGTTTAGGGTTTAGGGTTTAGGGTTTAGGGTTGTTGAGGGTTGTGGGTAGGAATGGTTCAGGGCTACTTGGGGGGGTGGGGGGGGGGAGGGGAGGGCGCGGGTGCACCGGTTAACTTTCTGTTTCCGATGCGCAATGCAGCCCAACCTTCGCAAAGGCTTCAACCCTAAACCCTGTAAAGCACCATAAACTCCTATAAACCCCTATAAGCCCTATGAAGCCTACAAACCCCATAAACCTTATAAACCCTATAAGCCGCATAAACCCCATAAACCCGATAAACCCTATAAACCCGATAAACCAACCCTAGAAACCCCATAAACCAACCCTGTAAACCCCATAAACCCCAGGAGCCCTATAAACCCTATGAACCCTATAAACCTTTTGAACCCTTATGAAACCCTTATGGAACCCTTATGGACACCCTATAAAACTAACCCTATTAAACACTGTAAACCCTCTAAACCCCAATCTCTTTTCAGGCTCGCTGGCCCAGCTGTCACGCCGGCGACTTCCGTCCCGCCTGGGCCTCCTCCCATGCCGACGCTCGGATTAGGGCTATATTGCAGAAGTGGGGATGAATTAGGGTTGACGGTTTAGGGTTTGGGGTTGAAAGTTTCGGGTTTAGGTTTTAGGGTTGAAAGCCTCGGGTTTAGGGTTTAGGGTTAGGGTTTAGGGTTTAGGGTTGAAGTACGGTTGAAAGTTTAGGGTTGAGGGTTTAGGGGTTTAGATAATTAGTTGTGTAGGGTATCAAGGTAGGCCTTTTGAGACATTGTTGCTGTCCCTTACTGGGTTTAAAGCGGACCTGATGTGGATTTGCTTGGGGAGCATTATTCGGCACGGTGAAACGGGCCAACCTAGTGGATTTGCATTCGGGTCTTGAGACCTTAGGACCTCACCTGGGGTTTCGGGTTTCGGAGTGTAGGTTTGGGCGCATAAGGAGGCTCGAAAGTAACTGGAGGTACCCAGGATGCAGCCCCAAATAAACCCTAAACCCTAAACCCTAAACCCCAAACCCCAAACCCTAAACCCTAAACCCTAAACCCTAAACCCTAAACCCTAAACCCTAAACCCTAAACCCTAAACCCTAAACCCTAAACCAAAAACAAAGTGAATTAGATGGACCTAAAGACCGGACTCGGAGGAACCAGGTGATGATGGGCATGGCATGGGAAACCCGTAATCTATCTAACCCCTATATAGATATATGTAAGAGGAACCTCTATGTACTATTTGACATGGCTGCTTTCTGTATTAAAGTTTTAATAGTTTTAATAGTTTTGAACTTTCAAAACAACATCCTAAACTATTAAAACTTTAATTTTCCTTTTTAAGTTTTAATAGTTTTAATAGTTTTAATAGTTTACACTTTTAAGAAGGCTCCTAAACTATTAAAACTATTAAAAAGAAACGGCCTTGCCCAGGAGATTCCTGAACTTTTAAAACTATTAAAACTTTTAAAACTATTAAAACTATTAAAACTATTAAAACTATTAAAACTATTAAAACTATTAAAACTATTAACACTATTAAAACTATTAAAACGGCTTCTTTTGAATAGTTTTAATAGTTTCAACTTTTAAAAAGCCTCCCGAACTATTAAAACTATTAAAAAGAAGCCTTTTTAGTAGTTTTAATAGTTTTAATAGTTTTAATAGTTTTAATAGTTTTGATAGTTTTAAAAGTTTAAAAGTTCGGGAATCTCCAGGCCAGGCCTTTTCCTTTTTAAGTTTTAATAGTTTTAATAGTTTTAATAGTTTCAACTTTTAAAAAGGGGCCGAAACTATTAAAACTATTAAAAGAAACGGCCTTGGCCAGGAGATTCCTGAACTTTTGAAACTATTAAAACTTTTAAAACTATTAAAACTATTAAAACTATTAAAACTTTTAAAAAGGTTTCTTTTTAATAGTTTTAATAGTTTTAATAGTTTCAACTTTTAAAACGGCTCCTAAACTATTAAAACTATTAAAAAAGAAACGGCCTTGCCCAGGAGATTCCTGAACTTTTAAAACTATTAAAACTTGTAAAACTATTAAAACTATTAAAAAGGCTTCTTTTAATAGTTTTAATAGTTTTAATAGTTTCAACTTTTAAAAAGCCTCCCGAACTATTAAAACTATTAAAAAGAAGCCTTTTTAATAGTTTTAATAGTTTTGAAAGTTTTAAAAGTTCAGGAATCTCCAGGCCAGGCTTTTTCCTTTTTATGTGTTAATAGTTTTAATAGTTTTAATAATTTCAACTTTTAAAAAGCCTCCCAAACTATTAAAAACTAGCGGCTCGATTTGGCCAATTTTTCCCGGGCAGTCTGCGGGCAAAATTTGGCCAAATCGGGCTGCTCGTCGTACGCGATAACAATTAAATAATTTCCGGCCTCCAGAAAGGCG